GAGAACCTCAGAGGACAATAGTCAAGCAGGGCAGGGCTTTCTTGGATAGACGTAGATGGATAACTGGAGTTCTGCCCTACAAGGGCTTAGTTCAAGCAAGGTGGGGTCAACATTCTTGCCTGGGGAACAGAGTGTCTTGTCTTACCTCTCCCAGTATGTTGGCCTCCACGGGACAGGTGAGTTAGGTTCACAGAGGCCTGGCCGAGGCTCACATTCAGGAAGGCAACATAAAGAAGGTGCCGGAAGCCATTCCTGGCCATTGGCTCTTCACAGTCACGTGTCACTGATCTGAGACATTGCACCCCAGACAGGATTTCTATTGGAGGGAGTGGGGAGGATGGGGTCAGGCCGCTGCTGGGGAAGCTGTGTTTTCTGGCATTTGGGCCATCAAAGGGCGCTGAGCCTGGCAGTGGAAGGTGATTCTGACCTTTCTGATGGCACTTGCCCCTACAAGCTGTCTCCCGATTCTTTTTTTTTTGTTTTGAGACGGTGTTACGCTCTGTTACCCAGACTGGAGTGCAGTGGCGCGATCTCGGCTCACTGCAACCTCTGCCTCCCGGGTTCAAGTGATTCTCCTGTCTCAGCCTCCTGAGTAGCTGGGACTATAGGTGCACACCACCACGCCTGGCTAATTTTTGTATTTTTAGTAGACAGGATTTCACCATATTGGTCAGGCTGGTCTTGAACTCCTGACCTCAGGCGATCTACCCGCCCTGGCCTCCCGAAGTGCTAGGATTACAGGTGTGAGCCACTGTGCCCAACCTGTCTCCAGATGCTTAAGCGACAAACCTCAGCAAGAAGGAGTAGAGCTGGAATCTCGTCTATGATGCTCCCTAGAAACACCCATTGTTGAGGGAGGTATCCTTTGGCAAAACACAGAGAAAGAGCTGCTGTTTTTTTCTGCCAGTTTTTGCTGCTTCCCTTCAGTCACCCGTCATGTGTTTTACTGCCACACTAACTGATCTGGAATACTGTTTTCTTCCCCGTCAACACCATGCTCAAGAATTTGCAATGGTTCCCTATCGTCTATGACCATCCACAAGTTGCTTAACCTCTTGAGACCTCAATTTTCTCATTTTATAGAGAAAAGAGGCAGACTGGAAGGTTAGAGCTGAAATTCTATGTGTGATTCTGTCATTCTAGCAGGTCAAGACCACATTTCCCATGCTTCCATTAAAGGCACCCTGTAATCCTGCTCACTCCATTGATCCAACTTTATATCCCACAGTCCTGGACCCTGAACCTTCCCATCCAGCTTGTTCTCCTCTCTGATCTTAAATATCCTGCCTCTGCCATTTATGTGCACTGTGTTATTCTTTTCTCTCTGTTGGGGATGTCTGCTTTCTCCCTGTTCTAAAGCTTTGGTACTACAATAGTAGAGTGATTAAGAGTAGAGGCTTTGAGATAAATAAACCTGGCTTCAAGTCTCTGCTTTACAACTTACTATCTGGGTCATCTTAGGAAAATCTCTGAGCTTCAGTGCTTGCAATGATCAAATAGACAATGATAAATGTAGGGTTAGGAGTAGTCATTGAGATAATGTATGCAGTGGGCAGAGCACAGTGCTTGGAACATAGTAGGTGTTCAGTACATGGCAAAGATTATTGCAGTTAGTATAAAATCCTCTCCAGTCTTCTCTGCTTCTCCAAATCTTGTCCAATGTGGACCCAGATCAAGCTACATCTTTACCCTGAAGGTTTCTCTGTCCCCTGAAGCTCATGGTGGTGATCCCTTTCTGAGTTCTTATAGTCCTTGGTCCTAGTGCCTAGCTAGGTGCCTCATTAGATTCTGCCTTGCAATGCAATAATTTCACGTGTGTGCCTGCAACATCTTGCCTTAAGTCCCTGGAGAAGAGAGACCATGGTTTTCATCTTCACTAGCTCCCAGGATACTGATAGAAATATGGAGATACTTAATCATTCCTTTTGAATTGAAGCCTTCAAATATCACATTCATGTCATCAATTGCCCAGTTCCTAGATTCACACTGATATTTACAAAGCCCTGAGTGTTGTTGCTTTGGTGAGGAAGTCCTCCCCAGAATCATTATTGAAGACAGAGCATGCATTATCACAAACCTTTTAAAAACCTGGTAACTAAAACTGTAACATTCTTAAAGACAACCTAGGGGAACAGCTTTATGACATTGGATTTAGCAAGATTTCTTGGATATGACACTAAAGGCACAGGCAACAAAATTAGAAATAGGTAAATTGGACTACATCAAAATTTAAAACTTTGGTGCATCAAAAGACACCATCAACAGAGTGAAAGGGCAACCCCCACAGAATGGAAGAATATATAAGTCATATATCTGATAAGAGATTAAGATCTAGAACACACAGGCCGGGCACTGTGGCTCACGCCTATAATCCCAGCACTTTGGGAGGCTGAGGTGGGTGGATCACCTGAGGTCAGGAGTTCAAGACCAGCTTGGCCAACATGGTGAAACCCCCGTCTCTACTTAAAAAAAAAAAAAATTAGCCGGGCGTGATGGTGTGTGCCTATAATCGCAGCTACTCAGGAGGCTGAGGCAGGAGAATCGCTTAAGCTCAGGAAGGAAGACAGATGTTGCAGTGAGCTGAGATCGTGCCACTGCCTGGGCGATAGAGCCAAGATCACGCCTCCAGCCTGGTTGACAGAGCGAGACAGGCTCTGTCTGGATTTAAACAATCCAGTTTCAAAATGGGCAAAGAATTTGAATATCCATTTCTGCAAAGAAGACATACAAATAGCCCACAAGCTCATGAAAAGATGCTCTACATCACTAATTATTAGAGATGCAAATCAAAACCATAATGAGATACTACTCCGCACCCATTAGGATGGCTAATGCACAAGTGTTAACAAGTACTGGTGAGGATCTAGAGGGTTTGGAGCACTTGTGTATCCTGGTGGGGATATAAAATGGTGCAGCCATTATTGAAAACAGTATGGCGATTCCTCAAAAAAAGTAAAAACAGAATTACTGTATGATCTAGCAGTTCCATTCTGGACATACACCCAAAAGAATTGAAAACAGCAACTCAAACAAATATTTGCACACCCATATTCACAGCAATATTACTCACAATAGCCAAAAAGTGGAAGCAACAAAGTGTCTATCAACAGATGGATTTTTTAAAGTGATATATACATACTATTATATATATACACATATATGTGTGTGTATATATATGATATATATGTATACACACACACACACACATGATTCCACCTTAAAGAGAAAGGAGGCCGGGTGCGGTGGCTCACGCCTGTAATCCCAGCACTTTGGGAGGCCGAGGCAGGTGGATCACGAGGTCAGGAGATCGAGACCATCCTGGCTAACACGGTGAAACCCCGTCTCTACTAAAAATACAAAAAATTAGCTGGGCGTGGTGGCCGGCGCCTGTAGTCCCAGCTACTCGGGAGGCTGAGGCAGGAGAATGGCGTGAACCCGGGAGGCAGAGCTTGCAGTGAGCCGAGATCCGGCCACTGCACTCCAGCCTGGGCGACAAAGCGAGACTCCGTCTCAAAAAAAAAAAAAAAAGAGAAAGGAAATTCTGACATAAGCTACAACATGAATGAAACTTGAAGACATTACGTGATATAAGCCAGTCCTGAGAGGACAAAGACTATATGATTCTACTTTTGTGAAGTTCTTAGAGTAAACAAAGTCATAGAGACAAAAAGTTGAATGGTGGCTGCCAGAAGCTCGGGGGAGGGGACAGTTATTGTTTAATGGGCAAGACATTTCAGTTGGAAAAGATTAAAAAGTTCTAGAGCTAGATAGTGGTGATGGTCACCCAACAATATTTATGTGCTTAATGCCACTGAACTGTACCCTTGGGAGTGGTTAAATGTTAAATTTTATGATATGTGTATTTAACCCCCACACCTCCCCAAAAAAATCTGACAAAAGTTAAAGACCATTCCCTAGGCGCAGCTCTGTTCCTGCATGCAGAATTTTACATATGGTTCCAGGGAGCTCATGATCCTCTCAGTTCATCTGTGGACCCATTCGACAACCGAGTGTTAGGGGGAAGCCAGTCTCATGAGCTCCAACACATTCTTCAGTGCACTCAATGGCAATCCCAGCCCCCTTAGGCCTTTTCGAATAGTGCTCATCCCTGACTTCTGGCTAGACTTCTTTACAGAAGCCCATTTGGCTCCAAGGACAGGAAAAAAGAGTGCAGGTGGTTATTACGCAAAGCCACAGCATTAAGGAACTCAACATTCTTCTAGATATCTGCCCTCCTCTCTGAGAATCCAATACTTAGAGTGTAGCAGGTCCCAGCTCCATTTGGGGTGGCGGTGGTGGAAAAGGCGGCATCTCGGATAAACAGAGCATCTTTAATGCCTGCTCAGGCCAGAGCCCCTTTCCAAAGACATCGAGACCGCCGTGGGCCTGCTGACTCCTCTCACGCTTTCAAGCTACAGTGCTTCCCATCACATTGCAGAAGGCCGCCTTGGGTCATATCTCACAAAGGAAGAGCTATTAACAAATATTCCATTTGTATTTCCTGCGTGGCCCTCCATCTGGAAATATCTTTTATCTGGCAACTTTTGCAAAATGAACCGAATCTTGAACGAGGTCTTGGCAGGTTTATGCTAGCCTCTCTATCACTCCAATAAGTCATCTCCATTCTCACCTTCACAAGGGTCAAGCAGTTGTGACTTGGGATAGGAGACGGGGCTGGCACGGAATGGTAGCAAGTCATCTGGGCCCCGAGGCATCTTTTTAACCCTGAAAACGTCCACTTGGAGGGCAAGAGCCAAATCTAAAAAACTTATTATACATACTGTCTTTCAGCTTAAATATGTATGCTCTCACTCCAAGTTCAGATCACAATTTACAATTCCACATTTTGTAATTTTTAAATGCAGTCTGGCTTCCCCAAAGATTGCAAGCTCATTCTGCCCATCCAAGAGCCTTCTTAGCTCAGTGTCTGGCATGCAGTAAGCATACAATAATGGAAGGAATGAAGGAATGAACAAATGAATTAATTAAGCCCACCTTACCTGCCTCTCCACTAGTTACTTCAAGTCCAGGTTGAAAAACACCTTCTTTTCAGAGCAGTTGTTACTGAAAGAAAATGAGAGGAGCCCTCTGGTTTAGACAGCTAGAAGTAGAAAGGAGAAAGAGAGAGAGAGAGAAAAAGAATTCTTATCTTCAGTTAGAGAAATGTTTCCACAGGTCCTTGATAAACTAGGGAAAAAGACCCCCAGGGCTTTCTGATAGCAGGCGGGTGTCCTTGATAGTGTGACGGGTGGGGCAGGCGGAACTTTGGCATCAGGGCTCAGGGATGGATTCTAACGGTTTCTTTGCTGGTTGAAGAGGCTGCTTCCTGCCGACTTCTTTTTTTTTTCTTATTCTGCATGTACCAGCCCAGCTTGTGAATGCAAAGGAGTCGTCCCTTTTCCAAATGAACAGGACTGGTGTGTCAGGTGGCCTTGCCATTGCATGCGCCTGCCGGTCTGAGAAAGCGAGTGTTCGTCTGTGTCTGCGACTGTTTGTGTCTCATGCTTTGCAAATCTCTTATCCCTCTGAGTCTCAGAAATCCCCCATGAGTGAAAAAGGGCAGGTAGCCTGGTGCCCATTTGATAGGAGAGGAAATGAGGCCAAAGCCCCTCCAAATCTGAAACATGCCTAAACTAGAGAACTGCGTGACCCTTATTCCTTAGACTCGCGCATTCTTGCTCACAGGCATGTCTGGAGTGTTTTTCTTTTTTTTTTTTTTTTTTTTGAGACAGAGTCTCGCTCTGTCACCCAGGCTGGAGTGCAGTGGCCGGATCTCAGCTCACTGCAAGCTCCGCCTCCCGGGTTCACGCCATTCTCCTGCCTCAGCCTCCCGAGTAGCTGGGACTACAGGCGCCTGCCACCTCGCCCGGCTAAGTTTTTGTATTTTTAGTAGAGACGGGGTTTCACTGTGTTAGCCAGGATGGTCTCGATCTCCTGACCTCGTGATCCACCCGTCTCGGCCTCCCAAAGTGCTGGGATTACAGGCTTGAGCCACCGCGCCCGGCCTGAGTATTTTTCAAGAGGAAGAGCTTCATGAGGCAAAAGCCAACATACAGATACCGTATTACCTGTGGCATTTATTGGATTTGTCTCTTGAGTGATTCAAACAAAACATTACGGTTATAAATAGATAGACCTAATTGCTGCAAATAATACCTACCTTTTATTGAGCACTTATTATGTGCCAGACATTTTAAATACTTGATCTTATTCAATTCTGATTAAAAAAAAAAAAACCCTCCTGGCCGGGCGCCAGGAGGCGGAGCTTGCAGTGAGCCGAGATCCGGCCACTGCACTCCAGCCTGGGCGACAAAGCGAGACTCCGTCTCAAAAAAAAAAAAAAAAAACCTCTTGAGATCAGTAGTATTATTCCAATTTTACAGAGGAGGAAACTGAGAGAGAAGTTTCAATAACTTTCCCAGTGTCATACAGCTGCATAAATGTAGGAGATGGAATTTAGACCTAGGTCTTCTGACTCTATGCCCTCATCTCATCCACTATGCCAGTGTTTCCCAAATTTCCTACGTTTGCATGTTAGGAATATATATTCTTAGGCCCATACCCAATCTCCCAGATCAAGGGAGAAACCTCAGAAGGCCTTTCCCTGATCTAAAAAATAGCCTCCTCCCAGGCACTAACACATCGCTGTTTAATTTTCATCATTATATTTGTCACTACTTGATATTTTCTTATTTGTGTATTTGCATATTGTCTTTCTTCTCCACTAAGGGATGAGTTCTATAAGTGCAGATACAAGATGTCCAAAGTTTTAATTTCTAGCAACTGACTAACAGGGATGGTACCTAGGAAGTACTCAATACATACTTAATAGACAAGTTAGTAGACACTGTCCAAAGTATTGTGTTAGGAAGAATTGTGAGTCTGGACCCAGGTTCTGGAGAGAAGAGCAGAACACTGGTGTGTGTCCTGAGATTTCGGCGTGGGAAAATGTTGGCACATATGCCATGTATTTGCCATCCGAGAGAAAGAAACTCAGTCCCCCCAAAATAAGAGGAAGATGACACAGCAAGTCAGTAGGAGAGCCAGGTAAAATACAATCACTTCTTTGCAAGACCTTTATCTCTTACTTGGAAGTCAAAATGAACACGTTTGTAATGGAGAAGACATCCACGGTCAACAGTGAGGTGCTGACCAAAACTGCAATCAGATTGGATTAGGGAGCGATCACAGTGGACATCAGCATGGAAGGCTTTCTGGAGGAAGCAGAAAATTGAGTTGCCCCTTGATGAGCAATTATCTGGAAACTTTCTTTGTTTTCAGGCTTGTAGTATGAGCTTTACATAGAGTGCTTTTTTTAGGCCCTTGCAACACCCTAATGAAGTAAGTATTGTAATCATAATGTTATGGGTGATGAAACTGAGTCACAGAAAGGCTACAGAACTTGCTCCAGATCACAGAGCTACTAAGGATGGAGTAGGAATTAACAGCCAGTGATTTCAATAATGGTTTTCTTAAGCAGAGCAGGTGTGTCTGGTGGGAAACAGCCCAAGTAAGGGTCTGGGTATGGGGTCAGTTGGAGGAGCTGGAGGTGCAGTTCACAGGTAGTAATGAAGTCAACTGGCTGCAGAATTGGACCATAACAATATTCCAGTGAAAGGAACCAGATCTGCTGTTCACTCCCATTTGAAGGCATTGGATGCCAAAATGCACCACACCTGACCCAGTGACCACAGGCAATTCAAAGGTTTATTACTTATACAGGCATAGGCAGCGAGGGGAGCCCCTGGTGGAGGGCCCCACTGAGAAGAGGGCTCCCTGACCTCTGGGGAAGAGAGAGAACCTGGTGCTGGGGACCTAGGTAGATATAGGACAGGAGCCCACCTGTTGAATGATGCCGAGAGGAGGTATGGGGGGAGATTAATTTTGAGTGATCTGCTCTGGTGGGGGTCAGGCTGGGGGCAGTCAATCAGAAAGAGCAAGGGTGAGTTTTCTTGCATGTGATTACTAGGAGCTGCAGAGGTGAGTGGGGCTGAGTGGGTGGTGAGGGGCGGGGGTGCCCTGATGGTTTCTGCCCCAGTGGGTGTTAATTGTTTGGCCAAATGACATTTTGCTGGGAGCAACTTTTTGCACTCAACTCAATTTCTTCAAAATTCACTCCCTAACGTTTGGTTCACCATGCCAAGAGCTAATATACTTGTATACAGGCTGTACCAATTTTACATAGCCAGTGCAGTATGTAAGTCTACTTGTGGGCAGGAGGGCCTCCTAAAACAAGGTCACCCCAGGCTATAGGGGACATCCAAGTCCTAGGGAGTTCAGAGTACCACATGTAGAATTTGGGTTCGGTTTGGTGGCACATCCGTTGGGCTATTTGGATTACTTTGCCTGCAATATTTATCCACATCCAGCAGGATACGCTATGTCCTCTGAGAGCGTATACTCCTTCTGGGAAGCTGGCATGTCATCTGAAACTAGTCTCTTATCTGCCACCCTGGCAGTTAGGGGTTTTTGCCCTTCAGTGAAAGCTTCCAGTGCTGCTGATTTTTGTGTTACAAGGGCTAATTGAACCTCGGACCTTTCTCTGAAGTATCTACTAGTTTTCCTGGTGTGATCATATGGTAAGATCTTAGTCCCACTCTTCTAGCCCCAGGTCATGCTTACACCCAGGACAATGGGTAGGAAGACGGCCCATCACCTCTGACTAGGGACTGTGACCAGCAGGGTTAAACTGCAGAACAGTTAGAAAAATGTGAAGGGGGGTTTTCAGAGTTAACAGTGTGCAGGTGAGTTTAGGTAGTTGGGATGTCAGGAGGAAGTTATCTAGGAGTGGAACAGGTGAAGCAGGTTCCCTCTGGGGCTTCCAATCTCTCATGTTCCTTTAATATCTGGGGTGAGCCATGACACTGGTTGTGCTATGTGGACCTAGGAAGATACAAACATAGGCATGTATTTGTACATTTGGATAGATGCATGATGTGGACTCATGAGCCAGGGACCAGACTGGATAACATCTGAGCCAGCATAGGACAGGGCAAGACCTAGGAGCCTAGACCAGAAGTGTTTGGTGTTGGTGGTTTTGTGGTGCAAATAAGGGAGTGGCCTGCTCATGGGGGCAGATAGGAGGCCCAACATTGCATGAGGTCCAGCCACTGGGATGTGGCTTTATCTATGTGTACATACAAATTAGCCCGGAGATAGCCTTAGGCAGTAGAATTGCTTTGGGAGGCCCAGGAGGGGAAGTTCAGCCACAATAGCAATGAGGTTTATTGTGCCCAATGGGGAGGAAGTGGGAGGAGAGAGTTATAACTTTGGTGGCCTGTCTGGTGGCCACCCTTTTCAGGTACGTGACAAATGCTGATTAAGGGATCCCCCAAGGGAAGCTGTTTGTGCTCCAGCAGGGGGGTCCCTTGGTAGATGATGTGGGTTACTGGTGGGCAGCCTCCAGGATGCAGTGGTTGGCTGGGATGTGGTCATTACCTGCAATGTGGCCATTGTCTCCCTGGGCTGGTACAATTTTTTTTTTTTTTTTTTAGCTGGAGTTTCGCTCTTGTCGCCCAGGCTGGAGTGCCATGGCACAATCTTGGCTTATTGCAGCCTCTGCCTCCCAGGTTCAAGCAATTCTCCTGCCTTAGCCTCCCAAGTAGCTGGGATTGCAGGTGCCTGCCACCAAGCCTGGCTAATTTTTTTGCATTTTTAGTGGAGACGGGGTTTCACCATGTTGGCCAGGCTGGTCTCAAACTCCTGACTTCGGGTGATCCACCCGCCTTGGCCTCCCAAAGTGCGGGGATTACAGGCAGGAGCCACCATGCCTGACCACAACTCTTAAGTCAGATTTGGGTCATGGAGGTATAGGCTGACATCTGGAAGGATGTCACAAAGATGCACAAAGCAGAAGGAGTGCTTGAGGGCACATTTAGAAAGGGTGCTGGAGAGCACCACATGCCCTGGGCTGCCTATTGGGCATCATTACTATGATAAAGGTAGTTTGTGGGGGAGATGGGACTAAACATGCAGGACCACATTCCTTTCTGTTTGTCCTGATGGCTGCTCAGGATGATGTGATATTCCTGGCCCATGGTGTTGTAGAAGAATTATATATTCCA